GCTAAACTGCTTCATCTCAAGTATTAAATTTGAATGTCTGACCGTTCACACAACTGCTTTATTTCGAGTGTCAATTTCAAGTGTACGATTGCTCGCTCAACTACTCCATTTCGAATGTCCATTACGAGTGTCCGATCACTCACACTCAAGTGTCAATTATGAGTGTCTGATCGTTCGCACAACTGCTTCATTTCGAGCGTCTGATCGCTCACACAACTGCTTCGTTTCGAGTGTCTGATCGCCCGCACAACTGCTTCATTTCGAGTGTCAATTTCAAGCGTACGATTGCTCGCTCAACCAATCCATTTTGGATGTCCATTACGAGTGTCTGGTTGCTGGCACTCGAGTGTCAATTTTGAGTGTCTGGTCATTCGCACAACTGCTTCATTACGAGCGTCAATTCGAGTGTCTGATCACTCGCACAACTGGGTCGTTTCGGGTATCAGTTTCGAGAGTCAGATCGTTCGCTCGACTGCTTCTGGTAATTTTTGAAGTCGTGTCAGAAGGGCTTCTCAAGACATCCCACGTTTCAACTGTACTCGGCAGACAAGATACGTCTTCTGGGAAAGGAGCCCACACCTATTTGACAGTTGGGAACTAGCTGCCGGTGAGAAGGACGCGGGCGACACGGGCATTCGGCTCTAAGAAAGGTACTACATGGTGGTCGAGCTCCGATCACCTGTTTTGTGAGCTCTAATATGGATTGTACTTGGTATTGGTGCATGTGAGAAAGGTATGAAGGGGAACAAAGGGGTATCACGAGTTGTATCGGACGACCTCACTTACACTGTTTTCCCTTTGTTTACTAGGACCTCATCAACCTCAACCTTCTGCAGCTATAAACCAGATTTTTATTCGATTTTCATGAAGGGGGGGGGCGTAAAATCTGTCATGATCGAGAGGGGTTCTTTGAGATTTGAACAGGACGACTCCTGAGGGCGGCTTGAAAACTGTGAGTGACGTAAGTTTATCACAGTCGAGGGTTGAGCGTGGGTCTCAGTTACACAGGTCTAAACTGAAGAGTGTTTTTCTTTTATCAACTTTTTGCGTTTGTTTGTATTAACATCAAATTCGGCAACCTACTAAGCATCAAGTATGTACCAGTCTGTCGAGCGTGTACAAAAGGATATGTAGGACCCAGTGTCTTACTGGTCGCTGAGGACCTCTGAAGCAGGCACAGCAAGTGACAGGCGTTGTAGCCTTTGGCCTCAGCAAACGGTAAACTTCTCTCCCCGGGTTTCTCGACAACGGCCTGAATTTTAACCGCAGCCAAGACTAAGGCCGGCAACGAAGTGGCACAGCGGAGTCACTGGCCCTGTCGGACCACAGCCAGGCCCAGGGGATCTGGGACCCCAACAGGTGTTATTGCTTGGTGAATAACAAAAACATCTTCTTTTCTTTTCTTTTCTTTTCTTGTTTTTCAAAAGGCCACGGCCTCAGAATATCATCATCCAATGAATGAATCTGGTCACATTTCTGCGCTTCAGCTGCACGAAAATGTCGCCAGAATCTTCCAGTAATGGCAATGCAAAAAGAGAGAAAATAAAATGCACATGGAGAGAGATAGATAGGTAGGTAGGTAGGTAGGTAGGTAGGTAGGTAGGTAGATGGATGGAGAGAGAGAGAGAGAGAGAGAGAGAGAGAGAGAGAGAGAGAGAGAGAGAGAGAGAGAGAGAGAGAATGAATGAATCTGGTCACATCACGCAAATGTCACCAGAATCTTCCAGTAATGGCCATAGCACAAAGAGAGAAAATAAGGTACAGAGAGAGGGTGCTGCGCGCCACCACTCAGCATTCAAGATGTATCTGGGCTGAACATTGGTCAGAATATGCAGACCGCATACATCTCAACTGCTGAGCGAGGTTCTCTCTCTCTCTCTCTCTCTCTCTCTCTCTCTCTCTCTCTGTGGACTTGAAAGAATTGGCGCTGTAGACCAAGCGCATCTGACCCAATAAAATAGTGGACAAAATGAACTCATCAGCATGCAGTATCCGAACAAAATCACTCGACACCCAACAGACTTCAGAGGATTGTAGGGGATGTAGGCGCTATAGCGGATGCAGAGACGTAGGGGATGTAGGAGGGATGCAAGGGATGTAGGAGGGGATGTAGGGCATGTAGGGGGTGATTTGGGGCGTGCAGGGAATAGGAGAAGGGGATATAGGGGATAGGGGATGTCCAGCAGACGTGAAATCCATGTACCGGACCAGACGCCCAAACATGTAGACCAGACACCTCTGCCACAGGTGCAGGCAATGTTTCGAAAGCACATTTTTATGTTGGGGAAAATCTATCTACAGATAATGGCTGCAGCCTGTTGGTGGTTTCCATGGCCGTAATTGGAGAAGCATTGAGTGAGTTTTCTGTAGTACTGACCTGCAGGTGGGGCAGGAACCAAAATGCTAGACCTGGCCTCTTGAAACAATTCAGCGTAGTAATCACTCTTTGGGACGTTAGACCTGGTTTCCATTAGCTTCCCTTAGTGATTTTAATTCTTTGGTATGAGGGGGGGATATTTTTCCTGGAATGATTCGTCTTTGTTTTAAGACTTTGTTGACTTCAACAATGTTATTTATAGCACGATGGGGCACAAGTCAAGCAGGTGATGATCCCCACCTATAAATTGGAGCCTTTGTTTCCCTTTTTCGAAGAGCTTGTTCATGAAGCATGGTGCAAGCTTTCTGCCTCAAATGTAAATTGGTGTAGACGAGGACTGAGGCGCAGTGCATATTCACAATACAGAAAGGGACACTCAGGCTGATTTAGCAGTCTACCCTGGAGACACTGCCAGGTCTTCACTCAGAAGAAAAGTGGTGGTCAATCTTTTCAAGCTTTCTATTGCACAAAATGAAAAAACAGGTCGTCAGGAATGATCATGTCGTGGGGCTATCAGGTCTCCAAGGCTCAAGGATAATTACAGAACAGACAAACGAATCCATAAATCACCCGCCCAGACCCTATCTCTGCTGCAATCAAAGGTGCAGCAAAAGCAAAGATTGTCCCGCGCTATATCTGAGTCTACCAAAAATCTCGTAGTGTATTCCGGAGGAGCACACTGATGCAAGAAGTGTTCCATCTCCTCTGCCCTTCCCAGCTGCTACACTCAAGTTCATGCGACGGAATGAGTGTATGCTTTATGCGTATATACAGAAGATAAATCATATTCTTAGTATTTCTTACCTCTCTAACCGTTTCACTTAGTCCCTGCAGAGTGATCTGCAAAGCATTACCGTGCTTTGAAGACGCCCGGTCATGGTGGCCTTCCAGTCCAGATTCTCACTGGCTATGTACTCTGCCAATCTGCATTCACTTAAGCCGCGACGTCGCGCAGGCCAACTTGAGAGTCTAAATCGAGCCAATCCGAACACTTTGGGGGGCTCGGGGCTACTGGACCATAATGGCTGGCGGCGCCAGCCAAAAAAGAAAACAAAAGTGTGCTGGTGGCAGTTCGGCAAACCCTGCCGCCCAGTGCAAATACGCCACAGTGGATGTACTGGTCCTTCAAAACCGCCAATACACATCCTCAGCCTTGCAGAAAACGTTTCGTCGACCACTCCCAAGATTTGCGCCCTCGGGCCCACCAGACCACAATGGCTGGCGGTGCCAGCCAAAAAAGAAAAAAAAGTGCACCGCTGGCGGTTCGGCAAAGCTTGGCGCGCAGTGGAGCGCCTCCATGCCTGGGTATACTGGTGGTTTAAGGGCAGCTCCTTCATCAGCCTGTTCTCCCCCACCCTCTGCAGCCAAGGAACATGAGTTGACACCCTCACTGTGCATTTCTACTGTTCCCTTGAAGAAGTTCCTTAGTCTGTACTTTCAAAGCCAGCAGATTGACAGGTCCTTCTCCACCAGCCTTGGCTGCTTCTTGAACTTACTCAAGAGCAAGATCACCGGAAAAACAGACTGAATTCCTGCAAGCGCTACAAAAGCAATGCCATCCTCCGCTGCCCTAGTCATCCCATATGGTGCCCTGCCAGACCCGGCTCAGCTGGACCTTATTGAGCCTAAAGCACTCTTCTCCCGAAGGTCCTTCAGAACTCTCGAACAACACAATTTTCTCTCAGCGAAGAAAGAAAGCATGGAAATAATTTGCACCACTTCCTTCTCAGCATCACCACAAGGAGGGCATATGCCTGAAAACAGGTACTTCCAATGCCCAGAGTGAGAAACGAACAAGGTTAGTCATGTACAAGATGGATGTGCAGACATCGCGAGCAAATGGGAGACCGGCGCAATGTGACGTGGCATGAGCTCATTGCCGAAGAACAGCTTAACCATCTACAACATGGAGGTGCAGACGTCGCGAGCAAGCAATGGCCACATGTGCCCACAGACACACAAAGAGGGGGGGGGGAGAGAGAGAGAGAGAGAGAGAGAGAGAGAGAGAGAGAGAGAGAGAGAGAGAGAGGTCTGAAGGGAGGCAGGAAGAAGAGAAGGTTCCGATATGATACTGGATAGAGAGTTCTCTGTGTTTTGGCAGTCTTGCAAGTTGCGTCCCTGCTGCTGCGCATTGATGGCAGGTGATCCAGAGAAAGAGTTTGGTGTGGATGAATACTGCTTGCCTCCAGCCGTGAAGTAGACAATCAGATCCCTGTTCGTCAAGCTGTTAGCTATGCAATTGAAGACTGAGCACCTTGCATTCAATGACAAGCGCTCCACACAAGGACAACAGCGATGAAGATAATTCTGAACATGATATCGTAGGCACTCTCTTTCCTGGTTCACCTGTACCATGCTATGCTCCTAAGCAAGTACCCGATCACTGTGTAGCAAAAAAACGCAATCACTTAAGAAACATAATGATGTCCAACTACAGTCGGCCTTTCTACTACAAGTCCCATCACCGGCCAGCTCCATCACATCTATCATCACCGTTTGAGGCTCGACTGCCATGACTCTTGACGGCACTCCTCGTGCTGCATTGCAAGCACTGTTCCCACAACTGGTGGATGCTGCAGACTGTTGCGTCTGAACATCTCAACCCCCCACCTCCTTCCACCTCAGCGCATTATGTATTTTATCTTGACTACCGTTGCCAACACGCGTGGGAGTGATGAAAAGAGTATTAGCACGTGCCACTGGTCCTCCTGCTGCTGTTCTCTGCTCAATTTGTGAAATGTCAAGGTTCATGCCAGTGGCCACCTGGCTTCCACAATCCCACACAGAAGAGCCGCTGTCTGATCAGGAACCACTTCACAAAAAGGGTGTAGTAGCTTGAGTGGCTCTGTTCATGACTTGAGCTTTACCCTCCACCTCCCTTCGGATGAACTGAGAGCTCCTCAAGCATCGATCAGACGAGTATCCAGGCTTTAACCGGATCAGCAGTGCAGAATGAAGCATGCCTGTGATTCACTGTACTTAATTTACCCTGTAGCCAAACGCAAGCAAAGGGGACTCCTATATCATCCCACGTCCCCACCAGCATATGTGCATCCAGTCCATCCATAAAATCAGAACTGAGAGCTCCTCAAGCATCCATCAGAAGAGTACCCAGGATTTTAACTGGATCAGCAGTGCAGAATGCAGCATGCCTGTGATTCACTGAATTTGCCTTTTAGCCAAACACAATCAGAGGGATCCCACGTCCCCACCAGCATATGTGCATCCAGTCCATCCATACGAGTGCAGGGAAGACCTCTGAGAATTTTTGTGTTTCTAACTTTCTACCACAATATTTACCATTTCTGGTTCACAGAGCTCTCACCCACATTAACAGATCCGTTCGGGGGAAATACCTTTAAACTGTTCAACAGTTACAGACCAGGGTGTCCTTGTTTCTCTGGGAGATTTGGTGGCACGAAGAAGAGGATAAGCACGTAAGAGGGAGATTTGACGACACAGAAAAGAGGATAAGCTACTAAGAGGGAGGAGGACTTCCAAAGCTGCACAGTTCGTGTTCTTTTCTTTCAGATGTACGCGTTGTGTTCCTGCAGAAAAGAGGATACGCTAGTAAGGGGGAGGGGGACTTTAAAAGAGGGAGGATCTCCTTGTTTTTCCGGGAGATTCAACGACACAGCAAAGAGAATAAGCGAGTAAGCCGAATGGCGACTTCAAAAGCTGCACAGTTCGTGTTCTCTCTTCAGATGTATGCGTTAAGTTCCTGCAGTCTGAGGCTGTGAACCTTGGTCGTCATGCCAGCATGAATTTCCCATAAATAGGATCGACAGGGAAGAAGAGACACATGAACAAACTAAGAACTTCTTACAACTCCAACCTAATCGTTTTTTAGCATACCCCTCAGGTGCGCCCTGACTTTTTGGGTAGAGAAAGACAATACCATGACCAACAACCCACAAAATAGTCAGCCCTTCCCCCACAGGTTGATCGGCATGTCTTCCTTTCAGAAATTCCACAGGAATGGACCTACCCGGCTGGCCACCAACGGTACCAGGCTGGATTTGGCAAAAGCCATGAAACTCATTGTGGATTCATCATGTGTCTGGTTCCACACACAAAGCCTACCTGCGGCTGCAGCACAGAGAGACAGTGGACATTGGAACAGGAGAAAGCAGAAAACCAGGAAGCCTCTGCCAGGCTGCCCACTTCTGGCAAATAGGTGACCAGTGAGATTGACGACTGACAATCGCTTTCACCTTTTCGTCGTCGATTAGTCCTGGAAGTTCGATTGAACGTGGCCTCCTGAAAAGTGTGAGATGGCCATTATCCCCTGATAGGGAGACATCAGAACCGAACACACAGATAGACAAAAAGACCATGATCTGTTTACATATGCACTTTCCTCAAAGCGAAACTAACTTTAGGATTAATGCCATTCTAAGAGGATTGAACGAGTGGTTACGACACGCACAGAACAGACGCCGTACCATGTGGTATTTTTCCTCTATTTTACGTCGCTCTCTGGCCAAAGGCGACCCTTGTCCCAGGATAAGCCATAACTGATGGTCATCTGGCATCGAATTTTGAAACCTGCATTGGTTTCATAGTTTGGTTGTTGCTCCTGCTTCTGGCTGCGGATCTGAAGATGGTGAACCTGTAACATGGCACGCAAACAAACCAAAACCCTCTGTGAGATGCTCTGGAATACCTACGGCCCAAGGAAGCCCATCCATCTGCGAGTCACAGTCGATTGGCATGGCTGCAAGGGAGTAGTCCATGTGGAAGGAAGACCATTCATCTGCAAGTCAAAGTCGATGTGGGAATAACTTTTTGTTGCGTTACTGTGCAGCACCTTTTTTTTTTTTTTTTCCCGGGGGGGAAACGGAACCTTAAACCACTAGTACCATTGCCGAGAGGGAAAATAGCAGGCCTCGGGTAGGCCTCCGACCTTCTTAGGAGGCCGAAATGAAACGACGGCCACCCATGAGATTTATCAATGCCAGACGTAGTTGAGCCCGGCCTCCAATTTTTCAGGAGTTTGGGAAAACTGCCAGTTTTCCCTATTTTCCCAACACTGGTGGAGGTACTAGTGCTTCAAGGTTCCAGCTCCTTGTTCATTCTGGGGAGCGTTCTTAATTTTGACTTGCCAGTGGAAAAGGAAGCATATCTTTTTCTTTGTTTCTGAAGAATCCTAAAATTTTTAATACAAAATAATTACAATAAGTAATAATAACCATGGCAACTGGCCGGACGTCTGGACCAGAATCCAGACGGTCCGGTTGTCTGGGTATGGGTCCGGTGTCTGGTCCGGTAGGTCTGGATTGGGCCCAATTTTGAAAAATTCGAAATTTTTTTTGGGGTGTCCTAGGACGTTTTTCGGATCCTAGGCCCCCAAACAATGCCCCCGGTATTTTTTGGCCCTTTCAGGGCCTACCGGACGCCGCCAGACGCCTCCAACAGGTCCCTCTGCAGAGTCCGATTCCGAAAATGAAGTGCTGGCTGCAAAGCGCCACAGAACATCAAGCTAGAGAGCGAGCGAGCGAGCGAGAGAGATGATATTGGTCAGATCTGAGATCCTGTCGTAGATCTGGTCCTGACCAGATCTCAGATCTGTTCTTACGCAGATCTGAATAACTTAACAGTTCAAATTTTCAACTTTCATATGAATATGAATTAGAAAGTCTAACTTCAAAGCTCGAAGTTCTGTTTCTTTCTGATTTTTGTACTCTTTTCTGAAGTGACCTGGGATTGGTCTGTTTGAGAACTGGTTTCAACTTTCTAGTGTTGTGTGAGCCTTTGTGAATTTCTGTGACAGTATCGACTCTATTGAGCTGTCAGGTTGTGAATAGCGAAAGGCAGTAAGCTGTGGTTAGTAATAATTAGTAAGTTAGTACTAATGTTGTTGTTGTTGTTGTTGTTGTTGTTGTTGTTGTTGTTGTTTTTAGGTCCGGACGTTTTTTGTGTCTGGCGTACTGGTCCAGACGCTCCGGATCCGGTCCTGCCCAGTTGTCCGGTGCCTGTCCGGATTACCGGACGTCTGGACCAGTCTTGACAAATGTCTGGGCCTCGGTCCAGACATGTCCGGGTCTGGGTCCGCGGTTGCCATGACAATAACCCACAAAGCTCAGCATTCAAAGTCTGTGATTTTCTGTTACGATTCTATTCTAAGAACGACTGGGGAATAAGACTCAAATGCAATAACCTGATCGTTATGCCCTGATGTTGCCCGAGGGGGAGGAAAACCCCCGAAAATGGCTTCAGGGCCTGTGCGCCCAACAGTTGAATTTGGTCAACTGCCCAGAGGCCCACAAGTCAAAGTCTGCATGGACCCATCCCAGGCCGCCGGTCAGACACACACTTGTTTGTATGCAGGTACCGAGACAGCATTTGGACCAAGTGGAAATCTGCAACTGTATGAGATCCGGGCTGTCGGCTGTGAGTCAAATCTGAGCCACCGTGGGTGGGAGACCTGAGGCAGGTCAACCTCGTCAAACACTACATAAGGCCTGCCTCCAGGGAGTCAACATTCAGTCTGACTATGCTGACTTGACGCTGGCTTGACGCTAGCCGGACGCTGGCTACATGCTGGCACTGTGGGACGACGACGCGAGACTGCCACATGGTGCCTTCTTGCTTTGGCACCAGCTGTCTACTTGCTGACGTGGCGCATGCCACGCTGTCTTCAACATTGCTGATGTGGTGCATGCCACTGTCTTCATTGCTGACGTGGCATCTGCCATATTGTCTTCATTGCTGAGTTGGACGCGACAAGGAGGGAGATCGGAATCTGTGGATTGAGAGAGAGAGAGGATACTTACCTGTTGCTGATGTCGATACTGTGCGCTGCTGGACGTCTTCACGGGAGAACTGTGCCACGTGGCACTCTGATGTGATCTGGCACTGTGTTACATGCTGCCCCTGCAACAGGCTGCACGGGCCATTTTTCAGGCCCGTGTTGTTTTCAGGCCAAAAGCCTGAAAACAAGGGGCTACAGGCCCCGTGTCGTTTCAGCCTGAAAGCCTGAAAATGAGGGCCTACAGGCCCTGTGTCGTTTCAGGCTAAATCAGGGCCTCTCCGGCCCTGAGTGTTTTCAGCCTGAAACTGAGGGCCATTTTCTGAAGGTCACGGCGCGGCAGCAGCAAGCGACCAACCAACAGTTCGAGCAGCAGATTTGCGCAGCAGCTGCCAGTCCGGCCCTGTCATCTCACGAGCGCATACCCAAAATCGATGGAATTTCGATCTTCTGCGATGCACCGAAGACTGAGCCTATTCCATGGTGATGCCAATTTGACCTCGTTTGGACTTGTACAAAGTCAGCGACCCCAACCCACATGCCTATTTATATCACCGGTCGGGGGGGCGCGTGTCAAGCTTGGCTTGACAACATGCTGTCCACGCATAAGGTCACTGTCTCCGAGCTGCTCACAAAGATCACTTTTATCTCAAGGCATCATGGCACATGCGGTTCGAAGTGGATCCGCCCGAGCTTCAGGCAATGGAGAAGTTGCAGAAGTTCCATCCCAACGCCTTGCCAAGCATGAATTGGATCATCGAGTACCAACGTTTGGCATCCACGCCGGACTTGTCGATCACCTTTACGCGCATCAAGCACTACTTCATCACGAGGTCATGCCCGACATTGCAGAATGCCTTGTTGCAAGTCGCGGAGACACTCACCACAACTGAGCAACTATTTAGCAAGGCCTCACTGATTATAGTGACGAATATGGAATTGCCTTGACGCAAATCATGGAGACGCGCACCACAACTGAGAAACTATTTAGCAAGGCCTCACAGATTATAGTGACGAATACGGAAGCTCGCAATGCTGGCTGTTCGCCCTCTGCAGGCCTGGGCAGAGATCAGCATCGTTCGAAAGTGGCCGTGGTCGAGGCAACAACGCCGAACGACTATTTGAATGAGGCTGCTTCATCTGACGAGGGAGAAAGGTTAGCAGCCGCCCGGGATGGTGGCTGCCCCGCCAAAGGTTGAGGATGCGGCACATCGAAGACACACACCTCTTCATTCCCCGGGTCCGGAACAACAGCTCAATACCCTTGGCTACATTAGGGTCTCTCAAAAGGCGTCTACAAGTTTCGAACGAGACACCATTATTGCTTGTGGTGCAACAGCGACGCACACGAAACCGTCAGCTGTCCCACGAAGGCCAAGGGAAAAGCCCTTTCGGGAAAGTGAGCACCGCCGAGAGTGAAACGGTTGCGCTCTCCACGTCTTCAGAACTGGTTGCTTCGTGAGCAACCTCCCTAGGTTCCGACGCACATGCGAAAGTCGTAAGTCCGATTCTTCATTCTTTCGACGACTTTGCTGCCCGGCTCCTTCCATCGCTCGGTTCTCAAGCTCAAGGACAAGTTTTTGTGTGGTTTCTTCTCCGTCCGGAAGCAGCGACATTTTAGTGGTTCTTCAAGGGATTCGGCACGCAAGCTCAACGTAGAGATCTTGGACCCGTTGTCGCCCGAGGATTTTGCATGGCTTCCTCCCCCTTCCACGGGCCGCTTACCAAGACCGCAATGCGCAACACTCTGCGCCCATCTCCACACATACTTATCCTTCTATGCACCACCAACTTCGCCGATGGATGACGAAGTTGCGGTGGGGAACCTCCTTGCATATATTACCAAGGTGGCCCATGAGTTTCGCACGCACGCAGTGGTACGATGACAACAACTCACCGCTCCTTTATGTCCGCATCCAAGTTGGGCAAGCGTCCTGCAGCGCTTTGCTGGATAGCGGCGCGACTCGCAATTTCATGAGCCAGTCCTTTATACAAAGGGACGGCCTTGGAGCACAAATTCGAAGGAAGCCACATCCACATCCTACGGCGGTCAAGATGGCGGACTGTCAGACGCAACAACTTCTTGATCGCTACATCGAAGCTGTGCCGGTCTATTTCGCACCTCACGCATGAGAGCCAGTTACGTTTGACGTCTTGGACACAAACTTCAACATTATTTAGAGGATGCCTTGGCTCGCAAGTGCGGACCACACGGTGAGCTTCCATCAGCAGACGCTTACCGTTCGCAACGCATTTGGCGCCGAGGTGCCGTGTACCATTCCTCTTCCGCACCCTTCAATGCGGTGCTGAGTTGTGATGACCGAATCTTTTCGAGCCACTTGTGCTTACGAGCGGTCGACGAGATCGGCCTATGTTTTCTTAGGACCGTCGCAGCGGCCAAGTCTTCACCTATGGACTTGTCTTCAGACACCCGCGTGGTGCGGTTGCTTGATGAGTTCGCCAACGTTTTCAAGTCTCCTACCGGTGTGGTGCCGGATCGGTCAATCTCCCACGATATCATTCTCGACGCCGGTGTCGTGCCCGCCGAAAGGATGCATCTATCGCATGAGCGAGGAAGAACTCCTGGTTCTCCGCGCGCAAGTCGATGACTTGTTGGACAACGGCTGGATCCGCCCTAGTAGCTCACCATATGGTGCGCCAATTCTCTTCGTACGGAAGAAGAACAAGGATCTTTGTTTGAGCATTGACTATCGCAAGCTCAACGTGCACACCGTCAAGAATGCGGGGCCTCTTCCTCGTATTGACGATCTTCTTGAGCGTCTGGGCGGCGCACGATACTTTTATTGCAGCCATAAGGCTGACCGTTGGTTGACCCGTGCAGAACTTCAGGCTACAGCCCC